TCATGGCAGTACAGTTGATTGATGTGGCCGGCAAGAGGAATGGTCTCGCAGTGGAATTTAGAACGAGTCATGAGATTCTGAGATGGATTCCCAATCACCTTTGCAACAACGAGGCACAGAGAATCCGAGGAGATGGTGATGCAAATTTGGAGCACATAAGGCCAGGCCTTTGTGTAGGACGGCGGTCTTCGCGAGATCGCTTGCAGTATGTCTCATAATTGGGTGGACATGCAGGGACAAAGCCCCAAACCACATTTTGGAGTTGCAGGCCTCATCATCCCGCATGTCCTGATTGTATATGAGAAAGATGGATATGTGATGATATTTGTTAATCTACCCGTTAGCTTCCTTGGACCATTTGATGTTGCAACTGAGAAATCGACTCAGAACAGCTGAGGGCGCCCTCTCGGGCTCAGGACACAGACGAAGTGCCACGTGCAGCTGCGGGGCCGCAACTCGGGGACCCCGGAGCCTGAGACCGGTCAGGACGGGGCGCGAAACGAGGGGGAAGGAGGCTAGCCATTGATTCGAGATCAAGTAGGAGTTAGCAGTCAAGTGAAGAAAAGACAGATTTTCATAGATTTTCAGCATCATCCAGATTTGATGTCTGCCTTCTTGTTGGGCCAACGGATAAGTGGGCAGGAGTTGCCAGAGCAGATGTTCTTGTGGCTCACAAGTTCTAGCCTCAAGAGGGTACACGGGAGAGGCCGTGCGCCGAGAAGCAGAACAGATCCAAAGACCGACACATGAGACCGGCATGAATACCTTTTCAAGTAGGCCAGAAGTAGAGCCGCACACACTCGAACCGACTTCATCCCTTTCCTCGTCAAGTGAGTTGAGGTGATAGTGCGGAGAACGGCAAAGCATCACTGGAGACGACCATGGACAGCAGTAACTCGTGTCGGGAGTTGGATGACTTGGGGTGATTGATGTGACCGATTTGGCCCGTTTAGACTGCCGTTGATTTGGACATGCAATGAAAAAAGAAGCTTTACAGTTTACAGTTTACGATGTAAGTGAAAACAAAGTAAAAAGGATTCCGCTCTTCCAAAAGGATTTCGCCCTGCAGAGAAGAGCATCCGCAGGACCTGCTGAAGAGCATCTATGAAGGTCATCAGCAGTGCTACACCCAGAGTGTGGGTGGGCCACCAGTTGCCAATTCACCGTGCCGCGCGGCATATCCGGGTAGGGGCTCACTGACACACGGCACAGGTGGTGTGAGACGAATGGCATTGGTGTTAAGGATGTCAAAGCGCGGCTTGGCTGTCAAGCTTAGAAGGTACTGGAGCGGGTGGGATGGCCAAGATGGAAATCATAATGACAGTCGTAGGCTTTGGAGCTTCTTAACAGGGACGGAGTGACTGAATTCCGAAACTGACCCTGGAATGTTGTTGCGGTTGGCACATCTTCACCTGGCGTGTCACGCACGCTGAGGCGGGTCATTGAGAACCCAGAGATCCTGCCAGGCGAGGACGGCACTCGCCTGGATGATCAGATTGTGGGTTTCCGCACAGCGGCAGGCTCCCTCGCAGCCGGCGCTTCAATGGGACAGGCGGGTCAGATAGGGATGGGAAGTCCTTCCCAGTGAGAAAGCGCTTCCCATCTCAACGAACGACCACCGGACGCTGAAAAGACTGAGGTGGTCCCACCACCTCCAAACAGCTTTGGTTTGGATCTGAGTCATTGTCTAGTTTGGTTCTGAAACAGTTTTCAGAAGGCCCCTTTGTCCGACAAGCAAGACCTCTTTCATATTTAAGGGCTGTCAGGCGTAAATGGGGAAGGTAAAAGGAGGAGGAGGAGGCGGAGGAGGAGGAGGCGGAGGAGGAGGAGGAGGCGGAGGAAGGAGGGAGTGAGGGAGTGAGGGAGTGAGGGTGTGAGTGAGAAAGGGAGGGAGGGAGGGACTGAGTGTAGGCGGAAGGAGTTGTAGTGGCTGCGGGGGTGTATTTCAAGGCTTATGCCCAAGCGGGCCCGGCAGCAGGCGTCAGGCGCAACCGTAAGCAGGGCCTCGTCCGCTTCCTCTTCCTCTTCCCCTTTTTTTTTCTCTCTCTCTCTCTCTGTGTCTCTGTCTCTTTCTCTTTCTCTTCCTCCGACCGATTTCTTTCTTTCTTTCTGTCTTTCTGTCTTTCTTTCTTTCTTTCTTTCTCTCTTTCTTTCTTTCTTTCTTTCTTTCTCTCTCTCTCTCTTTCTCATGCTCTTTTTCTCTCTCTCTCTCTCTCTTGCTCTTCCTCTGTCTCTTTTTCTTCCTCCTGCCTTTCTCTTTCTCTTTCTCTGCCTCTTCCTCTTCCTCTTGGTCTTTCTCTTCCTCGCCCGCGGTTCTTTCTCTGTCTCTGTCTCT